TAAGTATTCTCACACTTGCTTCTTATCAAACTGTCTGTACTTGGCTATCTTGATTATCACTTCAAAAGTTTTTTTCTCTTACTTAATTGGCCTCTTAGAGTTGGTAAGACAACTCCCACCTATTCATGCTCTCTGTATGTGTGTATATATATCTCCTCTATATATGTTTCACTCTATATGCATCCGAGGAAGTGGGTTGTAGCCCACGAAAGCTTATGCTCTAATAAATTTGTTAGTCTCTAAGGTGCCACAAGTACTCCTGTTCTTGTCACTAATGAAGAGGTCCGCAACCTCATCACCCAATGCGCTGGGTCTTATGAAGACCTCCTCATGATCGTGAAGAAGTGCAAGCTGAAGTGGTACGGCCATGTAACAAGATCATCTGGCCTATCCAAGATCATCCTCTAAGGGACAGTACTGGGGAAGAGAAGAAGAGGTAGACAGAAGAAGAGATGGATTGACAACATAAAAGAGTGGACAGGAAAGGACTTTACGGAGACTCAAGCACTGACACACAATCGTCAGGGGTGGAGACAATTGGTTGATTGCTCATCACTGATGGTTCCCCAACGACCAATGCGGTTATGGGAGTGATGATGATGATGATGAATAAGGTATATAAGAGATGAAAAAAGAAGAGAAGTTGGGTCACTATATTGTACATAAAGATACAGTATTGCAAAATATTCTTGACATGTTTTTTAAGCCTGAAACTATCTCATGTGTCCACAGCTTACTCAACATTCTATACAAAACTGATAACATTGTCTTTAATGAACAAGTAATACTTTAAAAAAGAGCTTATTTTTAAAATTGTTATAGTGGGCTTGATTCTCCTCTCACTTATACAGCTTTTATACTGGAACAATTTCATTGACTTTAAAGGATTTACTCCTGATTTGCAGTGATGTAAAAGGGAATCAAGCCTTATATTTCTATATAATACCTATGAAACTGCACAGTTATCTTTGCCAACTAGAAGATTAAAAAGGAGTATAATACATATTTTAACATCATTATTTCAATGAATGTATGACTTATTCTGACTTCGTGCACAGATAGACCTTTTCAAAATCAATTAACAATTGTCCAGTCTTTCATATCTTTGCTAAACATGCTAAACATGCTTTTTTGTTAAAATTTGGTGTCCCTTGGGCATATAATAATCATTTGAGGTGGTTTTCTGGTTAAATAAAGTTGTAATTTCAATTACCGGTAAGTTAAAAAGCAAAAAATCTTAAGATATAACCCCGAGCAATAAACATAATTTATGAACACATATTTTAACTTAAATTTGTTTTAGAAGTGCTAATTGTACACTAACTACTACTGTTATATTTTTATACAGTGGAATAACTTGCCTTGATCTATTAAAATTAAGACCTCAAGATTTTAGAGTACTAATAATGAAAGTAAGTTAAATATGACAGTTGTAATTAGGTTCTAAAATATGGAAACTGAAATTGAATGTAAGTTACGTGGCAATGTCAGTATTTTCTTTGATTGATTATTTCAGTTTAAATCCAGAGTAACTGAACTTTAATATGTAAATTTTAAAGCAAGTTAGACCTGGAAAATGTTGTTAGTGGCTACAGACAATGTAAGTACTAGTTTACAATGGAGCACAGTAAAATGTCTTTATGTATGCTATCAAATAAAAGCATAGTAACTACTGTTCTGTATTAATGTTAATGATGTGCAGAACTATTCAAACATGATCTGATAACGTCCACGGCAAATTTGTCTTTTAGTAAGTGACATTTTAAATGCACTATACTTAATAAAGTGCTATGGTGTAAATATCAAAGGCAAGGTGAAATAAGAGCATTTTGTCACTTTGAAAGAAGGTATAAAAAAAATCACTATTTTACAACAGAACTTGGCAAAAGTTCCATTTAGAATTCTCAATCCAAATGGTTACACAAATAAGACCGTGCAGGATTCCTTCAGTCTTAGTTTACCAATTACCATGTGTACTTAAAATAAGAAATAGATGAAAAAACAGCTTAGGCACAATGTCTATTACCTACAGGAGCTAGTTTAGGGTGAAGTTTATGCAAACCCTATTATAATGCTAATGACATTCCTAACCCATCAATTAAATTTATTGATAAAGGTCAGAACATTTTCAAATTTTCCCTTTCCTAATGAGGTAAAGATAGAACTTGCCTTTACATGCACATGATTTAATGTAAATGTTATTTTAGCTGAACTGGGTGTGGTTTTGCTTTAGTTATATGTGGAAACACATTTTTCAGGCATTTCTTAAATATCTATTACAAACCTGTGATTCGAAGTTTATCTGTACCAACGACAACTTCATTTTCATCCACTGTAAAAAGTGGCTTGCCATCTACGGAGTTGATCTGAAATTGCTGACCATGGACTTCTACCATTTTAGGACCTGAAAAGCATATTTGACAAGATAAATAATTATTAAGTGAACTTTCATCATGAGTCCTTTCTTGTACTCTACATAAATAATCAGCCACGTAACACCAGGTTCAAAACAAAGACCTACCATGGATTTGTTTTGGGCAGGATGCCAAAAGTCACTGATTGTGGGAGGGTCCCCATGCCCCCAATAGTCAGAGGAAGCAAAGAAATGAACAGAAGGGTGGGAGGGGAGGATAATCATATATCAAGTACAGCATTAGAGTGAATGAGAAACAAAGGGAAATATTGTATATATATTTCTTCTATATACAATCCACAATGGTGGCAGGCAGCAGTATGTCTTCCTTCACTCAGCATGCTCCACTCTTCTTCTACCACCCAGAAACACTGAAGTATTAAGTGTAAACCAGATTTACAAATGGTTTTGGGCAATGCTATGTGATTTCATTTTTAGTTAATAATTTTTATTAAAACACCTTACATAAAATAAAGTCTCATAAAAGTATTACAAATTTAAATACTCCTGCAAAGTCAATCGTACTGCCACAAGCAATGCAATACTCATAAATTCCATCATGCATATGTGCATAAATCCTGACAGCAGCACAAAATTAATTAAATGTAATATTTTAGATGTTTTGCACTCATATACAAAGGCAGAACCATGTCTCCAATGGCATTTCCACTACAATCTTTTGTTAGACTATATGCAGTACTGCACAGTGTATATAGAACATTGTGAGAGTGCGCTCTATCTGTTTAGGTATTTATGTATTTCATATCATAATTATTTTAAAATAAAAGTAATATCTGTAACACATTAACAAGATAAGATACCTGCAACACCAATTTCTCCATGGCCTCTTACTCCTCACTTTTATGGGATGGAGTCAACAATCAAGGCTCTTCCAGATCAAAGCAAGGGTGAATGTCTTGCTGCCCACCCTTCTGTTACCTTGTAAACCTCTCTGGTTAGGATGACTATGTGAGTCTGTCCAGAGACAAAGAGCCAGATATTCAAAGGTATTTACTCACCGTAATGCATTTGTAAATCTGGCCCTCAATGACTAGTGTGGATTTCCAGACCCTTAGACCCAGATCCTCAGAGGTATCTTAGGTAACTAACTCTCATTGGAATCAATGGGATTTAGGTGCCTGGATACATCTGAGGATTTGGGCCTTAGCCCTAAAAACAACTATTTTACTTAGCAGATGGAAAAAAGAATTAGAGAAAAATATTTTAAACAAATATGCATAGCCTCATCTAATCTTCCACTTCATTACAAGTTAAGTTAGATAGGTTTTCCTCTTAAGCAATACAAACAGAATTGAATCAACTCGGGGTATGTCTACACTTAAAATACTACAATGGCACAGCTGCACCACTGCAGTTGCACCACTGAAGCTCTTCAATGTAGCCACTGTCAGTGTAGATAATCCACCTCCCTGACAGGTGGTAGCTAGACAGAATCCTTCTGTTGACTTAGTGCTGTGTACACCTGGGGGTAGGTTAGTAGAGCTATGTCTCTCAGTGGTGTGGATTTTACACACAGACCAGCGTTCTCCAAGGCCTGGTCTAAGAGGTGAAAGTGGGCCGGTATGGTATACCGGTAAGAAGTGTCTGCAGGACACAGCAGTCAGCTATAACGATTGGGATAGTTTTCTCACTGAGATCCAACCTTTTAAGTAAACAACACAAGGATCCCTTCCGTGACATTGCACTCCATATGATTTTATGAAAATATGCTAATGAGTGTGAATATAATTTAATTGGAATATACTTCATGCACAAGGTCTCTTGTAAGGTATCATTACAAAGCTTATAATCTACTGAGTGTGGTCTTAGAGCCTGGCTGTAGATAGCAGATTTCTTGGTGTGTCTTGTGCGGTTACTGGATCTGTGAAGGTCAGTGTGGTGATCCATGGATTTCTTGTATATAGTTGTCTGTAGGGTTCCATTGTTGAAGCTAATAGTGGTGTCCAAGAAGTTGAGGTGGGAGGGTCCCAGAGCTCAGGCTGCAGCCAAGTCCGAACCTCTTTATCGCTATTAAACAGCCCCTTAGCCCGAACAAGCTAGCAAGGGACAGCCGTGCATGTCCAGGGCCGGATTAACCATTAGGCTAGTAAGGCTATAGCCTTAGGCTGTCCTAGTTTTAGGCCCTATTGGTCAGGCAGGGGGCACAGCCGGGGCCAGGTGAGGGGGAGCAAGCTTGCTCATGCAGCCCTGTTGGAGTGCAAAGCAGCCCCCTGTGGCTTGGAAGGAGCTCAGCCGGCAGCCTGTTGCTTTCGCTCCCTCCCATCTGCATCTCCCCGCGCTGCAGGAACATACTGCCAGGTATCCGGTTAACACTGGTGACCGGACTCTAAAAATCTGCTTACCACGGGAACCTGTGCCAGCCGTGGGTATAGTTTGAGCAGGCATTATCCCTACCCACAATTTCTCCAGAGCTCTGCTTAACTGTCAGGGAGGGAAGAAGCTTGAGGCTAGCAGACAGCTCCAGGACGCTGACTCCTGGGTCCTAGTGCCCATCACTGTCATCTTCTATGTGTGCTGGGTCCTGTTTCTGGACAACTGGTGAGTGCCTGGGGGGTAAGAGGGTGGTGCAGGAAAGAGGCAGAACCAGAGCGGTAGGGTGGGAAGCTTGCACAGAACCTGCACACACTCTATCCAGCTCCAGACCGAACTACTGCCCCTCCTATGTATAAGGAACGAATTCCCACACATTTGTAGGAAAAACAAAACATCCCATTCTGGATACCAGTACTTTAACTTTTACAGTACCTTCCATCGAGGGGCTTCAGATTTATGATGCAATGTGTTCAATACTGTATTGAACTGTACTAAAAATCAAAGAAATCCATTTTTTTTCTTTGATGTATTTTTCTGTACTGGGATGCACAGGCAATCAAGTTCTTTCCTTATGAATCATAGAATCATAGAATATCAGGGTTGGAAGGGACCTCAGGAGGTCATCTAGTCCAACCCCCTGCTCAAAGCAGGACCAATTCCCAACTAAATCATCCCAGCCAGGGATTTGTCAAGCCGGGCCTTAAAAACCTCCAAGGAAGGAGATTCCACCACCTCCCTAGGTAACGCATTCCAGTGCTTCACCACCCTCCTAGTGAAATAGTGTTTCCTAATATCCAACCTAGACCTCCCCCACTGCAACTTGAGACCATTGCTCCTTGTTCTGTCATCTGCCACCACTGAGAACAGCCGAGCTCCATCCTCTTTGGAACCCCCCCTCAGGTAGTTGAAAGCAGCTATCAAATCCCCCCTCATTCTTCTCTTCTGGAGACTAAACAATCCCAGTTCCCTCAGCCTCTCCTCATACGTCATGTGCTCCAGACCCCTAATCATTTTTGTTGCCCTCCGCTGGACTCTTTCCAATTTTTCCACATCCTTCTTGTAGCGTGGGGCCCAAAACTGGACACAGTACTCCAGATGAGGCCTCACCAATGTCGAATAAAGGGAAACGATCATGTTCCTCGATCTGCTGGCAATGCCCCTACTTATACAGCCCAAAATGCCGTTAGCCTTCTTGGCAACAAGAGCACACTGTTGACTCATATCCAGCTTCTCGTCCACTGTGACCCCTAGGTCCTTTTCTGCAGAACTGCTACCTAGCCATTCGGTCCCTAGTCTGTAGCAGTGCATGGGATTCTTCCGTCCTAAGTGCAGGACTCTGCACTTGTCCTTGTTGAACCTCATCAGGTTTTTTTTGGCCCAATCCTCTAATTTGTCTAGGTCCCTCTGTATCCGATCCCTACCCTCTAGTGTATCTACCACGCCTCCCAGTTTAGTGTCATCTGCAAACTTGCTGAGAGTGCAGTCCACACCATCCTCCAGATCATTAATAAAGATATTAAACAAAACCGGCCCCAGGACCGACCCTTGGGGCACTCCGCTTGAAACCGGCTGCCAACTAGACATGGAGCCATTGATCACTACCCGTTGAGCCCAACAATCTAGCCAGCTTTCTATCCACCTTACAGTCCATTCATCCAGCCCATACTTCTTTAACTTGGCGGCAACAATACTGTGGGAGACCGTATCAAAAGCTTTGCTAAAGTCTAGAGCTTATGCTCAGCCTAGTTCCACATGCCAATACATCTTTGTATTTTTAAGCAGTTGCAAAAGCACTGGAGGAAGCTCAACACACAATGTTACAGGTTTCTCCATCCCCTCTCCCTCAAGGATTTTAAATCCACTTCTGAGCAGGCTATGATAAAAAGACTGGCTGAATAGGCTAAAGGCAGGTTCTGTCCATTTGCTGGTTCTCTAGCGGTTCAATCCATCATAATAGTACCTTGCATCTGATTTCTTTTGAGTTTCATTCAAAAAATGTAAAGCTAAATAAACCTTAAGTTAGTCCTCATTTTTCTGCCCCAACTCAAACTATCTTCTTTCCCAAGTGGAAAATAGTGTGTAAGCATGGAATGTGTGTGATTCAAGAAGGGAATGAGAACACAGGCCAATTCCTGCTGACAGTTACACCTGTGTAGCCTTATTGACTTCAGGGTGAACAGATTTTTGCACAAGAATAGATTTTGGTCCCTTCTGCTTTTCCACACCTGGTATAAGCAGAATCTCATTCACTTTCCTCCCCTAAACTCTGAGCACTTTAAGGAAAAAAAATAAGCAAGGTCTGCTTGATTTACACATGCAAACGAAATAGAAAGCAGTCCCTTCATTCTACACCAGCCTTAAACAAACACCAGACCTGATGTAATAAGGGTGTCACTACAGTAGCCTTGTGCTCTTTTGAAAGATCCTTAATGGTTCTTTTAAGATACTGATTTTCAATGAAGTCTTTTTGTTCAGGGGGGCAGAGAACACAACAGGGAATAGCTCTGTTTTGTCAACCCCTAGTCATTCAAAAGCTGAAAGGCTTTAGATTAAGTTTGTTTAATGTTTGTACAGTGATTTTGAAGAGCTAACATAGTACAGAAGTGCTAAATATTATGACTGGGCAACCATCTGAAGATCTGTGTCACTTCTAGCTG